GGTTGTGGGGTGCTGGCAGAGAGGGAAGAGCCGCCCCACCTCCCTGGGAGGGAGGCCAGCCCCACACCCCACTACCTTCTGCCAGATGTTGGCCTCGGGGTTGTAGACGTGGACCTTCTTGGTGTTGTCCCCGATGAGGTAGATGAGGCCGTGCAGGGCAGCGCAGCGTGGGGCCGAGAGGTACTTGGGGATGAAGGGGGATGTGATGGCACTCCACAGATCTGCAAGAAGTGGCCATCAGCAGCCTGGCCCACCCCCGTGCAGCTGCCAGCGACCCAAAAAAGCATTGCCAAGCCCATGGCTATTTCAAGGCGGGTGTCAAAAGAGAGGGAACAGAGCAGCTGGGTAGGGTGGCACCTGCAGTCCCCATGGCACCCCGTTAGCCCCTGGCTGCACCCCAGCATCACAGGATGTCACCCGCTCCAGGGGGATCCCCCTCTCACCTTGGACGGGGTTGTAGCACTGCAGAGTGAGCGCGTTGTACTTGACGGCGCAGGAGCCCACCAGGTAGAGCTTGCCCAGGCAGCCGACAGCTGCGAAATTGCTGACATACTTGAGGGCCGGGCTGATGGCGCACCAGCTCTTGTTGTAGGGGTCATAACGCTCCACCTCCACCGCGTCCACCGTCGTCCCTGCGGGGCAGTGGGATGCTGCAGCCACCCTGCAGCTCCAGGGCACCCACAGACTATCGCCCTGTGGGGACTTTGTGGCCTTACCTCCGATGACGTAGATCTCGCCGTTAAGGACAGCGCTGGTGTGGTTTGTCCGGGCTTTCAGCATGGAAGCGATGGGCTTCCAGGTGCCGTCCCTGGGGCAGAAGCGCCAGGCCTGGGTCGTCGACCATGTGTCATTTCGGGACCCCCGGGAGCCCCCTGGGGAGGGATGGGTCAGGCGGCCGCCCCCTCCAAGCAGAGCTGTCCCCAGGCATCCCTTGCCAGCAGCTGGATCCAGCCAAGCGGGGAGCACTGAGAGGGCTTTGTTTGGAGAGGAGGGCAGTCCAGAGACCCACACCAGCACCCCATGTCCACATTTCTGTCCCTCATCCTCTACCCCCACTTCTCGGGGAGCCCCCCATACCAGTGGCCTTGACACCTACCAGTAACATACACCGCATTGTTCAGCGCCACCAGGGAAAAGCCCCATTTGTTGTAGTCAGGGAAGTCGGGCAGGGCCATCCATCGTCCTGAAAAGCAGCAGAGCCCAGCCATGACCCCCCAGCCAGAAATGACGCTTTTCAGTCAGCCCCATTTCACCCTTCCCACTTCCCCCCTGCACTCCACCTGACACCAGATCGTTTGGCAAGAGGTGGCTTTGGGGTAGACAGAGGTTAATTAATATGAGGGAGGGATGGGGGGACTAGGAGGGTGGGGTGTGCGCGCTTGCCCCATTCTGGCCATGGGCACTTACTGCTTTTGGGGTTGTAGAAGGCAAAGTTCCTGGGGGCAGCCGGCATCCCCACGCCCCCGTCCTCATCTTCGCTCTCCTCCAACACACGGCCGCCAACCACCACCAGCACCTCCTCCAGCTTCTGTGGTGGGGCTGGAGTTGGCTTCCAGGCACCGGCATCGCTCTGCCCCTGATGAAGAGGCCAGGCCAGGACCGTCAGGCTCCGATCTGGGCCTACCCCCAAGCACAGGGGTGGGATTCGGGGCAGGGGGTACTCACCGTGGTGCAGGATCGGGCCACAAGGGCCTTGCTGGCATCTGAATCACGGACGAGGGGCTCAGTGGCGAGCAGGTTCTGCAGGTACTGGTCAGGCAGCGAGCCCAGGTGGGCCC